CGGGCCCCGCGACTCGCCATCGCCGGCTTGGGGGAGCAAGGTAGGATCCGGCCCCCTGCGAACACCGCGAGGACGGAGACAGCGCCGGCTGGAGAACGGTGTCCGCCGAGGGACAAAAGACCTCGACATGCGCAGAAACGACTAAGTGACAGCGTTACTGGGCCGATTGGGGCAAATCCCTGAAAAATCACAGAAACGGGACCTGAGAGTACTTTTACTGTCACAGTTATCCCTTCCACACACTTGTAAGGCTGGGCATTCCTCCCTCCCTCTAACTCTCTCTTCCTTCACTTTCCAGCATTCTCCTCTCTCCTTCAAAAACCTTTCTTCAGTCCCCCCTATTTATAACTTTTTTCAAATGTTTTTATAAATTGGTTTTAGAGAGAGGGATATAGAACCATCGATGAGAGACAAACATCTTTGGGCAGCTTCCTGCACACACGCGCGCACACACACACACACAGCCTATTTAAAGCAGCACAAATAGTGATTAAACTGCAAGGAGATATTCAGTTAAAAATCACAGCACAGCCTACCAAAGGGAAATCCTCGAAAGGTCACTGACAACTTGCCCTCTCTGTATTTTGGTAAGAATGGTAAGGACAGCCTGTGGCTAATAGCTGCTTGAGAGAGACATGGCCATAATGGCAGAATATAGAATGAAAAGTGAAAGACATGCTATGCAGCAGATTCCCCAGACACCAGTGACTGCCATTGCTACTGCAGCAGGATGGTAAGCATTTTACAGATTTTACCCTTTTTAAATTTAATACTCATAGCAACCTTGTTTTATTGAGAAGGAACCTGAGGCCCAAGGTTGCATAGCTAGGAAATGATGAAGCCATATTCCAACCCAGGTCCATCCCCACCCAGGAGCCATATTCCAACCCAGGACTTACTACAAAGCTCATCCAACCAGGAGATCAGGAGCTTTCTCCTGACTTCATGCAGGCATTTTTATATAGGCATCTTGATGATATCACACCTGTGACCCCCAGTGGTGGTTCACCTGTTCCTGAAACCCTCCCTACTCCCCCAATCACAGCTCTGTCCCACCCTGTGGAGTGCTGTACCAGTAATTAAAACAAGTTTATAGGGGGAACACTAAACTTGACAGGGTCCCAGGTTATGATTTCATACTAAAAATTCCCAAGTACTAAAAATGGCAATTGATCATATTGCTCAATTCCCACATTATTAGTTACCAAATTCAGACATCCTAGCATAGGTATCTTATACTTCCATCTCCTTTTCATTTTACTCTAATCCAGGCCCCTTCCTGCCTATACCTAGGACTACTACAATAGCATCCTTACAGGGACCTTCCATCTCAAATTCATCTTGTGCAACACTGTCCAATTAATATTCAAAAGCACTACTCGTGTGTCACTTCCTTAATTAAAAATCACAATTTTCCTATTGCCTGCCAAATAAAGTACAAGCTCCTTATTTTAGCCTTCACGGTCTTTCATGAACTAATTCCAGTTCCAACTGCTTTTCTAATCTCATCTCCTATTACCTTCCTATACACATTTTACATTCCAACTAACTAGCTTGAAAAGTGCCCCATATGCTCCATTATCTGTACCTCTGCTCAGGTATGCCCTCTGCCTGGAATCCATGGCCTCCCTGCCTAACAGTCCTCCCATGACATCCTGTCCTGAAGATCCAGCTCAAATGTTACCTCCTTCATGGACCAGGCACTACTGGGGATGGAAGAAAGCTGTAAATCGCTTACCTGCCTTTAAGGAGTAGTCTATGTGGAGAGCTAAGCAGTCCATGTATCCATAAGAGATGCCTTTATTCTTCACTCCCCACACTTACTTCTGTGCCAGTTTTCCCACTTGTTAATGACCTTCTATTCTTCCAGTTGCTCAGGTAAAAACCCAGCTAGATTCCTCCATTTCTCTAACTCCACACCCTCTCCCATGCACATATATTTAATTCATCAGCAAGTCCTTCTAGTATTACCCAATCCAACTTCTTACACCCTGGTCCAGGTCACCGTTCTCTCTTGTTTGCATTATCATAATAACCTCCTAATGTTTCTTTGCTTCCATTCTTGCCTTCCTATATGTGCGGTTCTCCAAATACAAGAATAAATAAGACAGTTATTTCCTTCACAAAGTTCACAATATAATTCCAATTGGTAGAGCCTAACTATTAACAGAATCATTTATTAATTCACATCAGAGTACCCCATTCTTCAGAGTCCAGGGCTGAGCCAATCTCCCAGTGTCCCTTAGAGATGCTTACAATTGAAGGCCCTCATACCGGGTGGGGGGCGGCAAACTTTAGAGCTAATCACAGTTGAAAGATTACTGTTGAAGAAGACTAGGGAAAAAGAAGTAACAAAGCGGCAGAAAGAACCTGGGCTATCAAGTCGGACCGATCCAAATACGAACTCTAAATCTGACACTTATTAGTTCCATGACTTTAACAGTAGTCAGCCAGTGATTAAAAATGATGTTGCCCAGCCGGGCATGGCTCAACGGTTGAACGTCCACCTAGGATCCAGGCGATCAGGGTTCAATTCCCAATCCGGGCACATGCCCGGGTTGTGGGCTCGATCAATGACTCTCTCATCATTGATGTTTCTATCTCTCTTTCTCCCTCTCCTTTCCTTTCTCTGAAATCAATAAAGATATATTTTAAATAAATAAATAAATAAATAAATAAATAAATAAATAAATAAATAAATAAACAAAAATAAAGATGATGATGATACCAATACTAAATATGAAGCACTTGCAACTTACCCAAGCTAATAAATGTTGCTCTGTCTGACTCTAAAAACCATTCTTGTAAATAGAGTTTAGTGAGATGATACAACAGAGTTCAGGGAAGAGGAATTGACAGTGTGGAAGTATATATTCAATGAGACACTCAGGTTCCATTGCCTCTTCATCTGAAGTATATGATGATGTGGGTTTTTGTTTTGTTTTATTGATTTTTAGAGAGAAATGAAGGGAAAGGGAAAGAGAGAGAGAAACACCGATGTGAGAGTGGAACGTCGACTGGCTGCCTCCTACACACCTCCTACCAGGGATCAAGCCTGCAACCCTGGCATGTACCCTAATCAGGAATCGAACCGGCAACCCTTTGGTGCACAGGATGATACTCAACCGAGTCACACTGGCCAGGGCACATGATGATGTTTTATTTGTTTTCCTAGTCCTTACTCAGGATCAAAATACTGCACAACTCTAAAGGTCACCAATCACATTACAGTCTATAAGTTTAAGCGATGGAGTCACTGGTATCTTTAGAGTCAATACTCACAAGGTAAAATATTTTACAAAAAACAGTCCAGAAAGGACTCCCAGTCACAAATTGGTTTTTTTTCATCCCACACCCATGAGGATCACACTGCAGAAATGAATTTACTAAACTATCGAGGTGTCACATGTAGTCGCTGTTGAATCTCTTTCCTAAATTGGGACTGCATTGATGCTGCCTGCTGCTGGGTAAGGGCCTTGTCACAGGTCTGGTAGGTCAGTCTATAGCAGAGACTGACCTGTTCAGTCTCAGGATGCTGATAACGACTAAGAAATTCTATGGATATGACAGTGTCTTGAGACACTGCTCGGGCCACAGTGTGAAACTCTAGTTCATCAAATCCTTTCTTTTCATCTATCCAAAAACTAATATCATGCACATAGCTCGGAGGATATAGGGAATGGCTTTTAAAGGGTTCTATTTTCCCAGGGACAAAATTCTTCAGGAAACGTTTATCAAAGGTCCACAACATCCTCCAGTCAGAGATACCCCAAACAAGCATGGCTAATAAGTCCAAGTTCATAGACACAAACACAAAACACTGGTCTTTGTGTATAATGGTTGGAACAGATGTGGTAACAGACCCAATAATCAGATCCTTGGCACAAACTGTGCCAAAATTATGAGACTTCACCTTAATCATACAATCTTTCCCATTTGGCTGAAAGACAAATTCTACTGAACTGCCCAGTTTAGAGCCCTCCAGCAATGTCTGTGTCAGAAGGCTATCTAGAATGCCCTCCAGGTGGTCCAGTAGTGACTGAAGACAGCCATCCTTCATATTCTGATTAAACCCAAGGATAAATAAAGTCTCGTGAAATGTTGGCATTGTGAAAGGCAAGATGTGGCACTTCCGAAAGACAGGTCCACTGAGGATGTGCAAAGAACCTGGGAGGAAGTCAGGTGCTTGGATGACAGCCTGAACATGAACTAGGAGAGAAGGCCTAAGCCAGATCTTGGCTTGGCCATAGATTCCTTCAGGAGCCTCTTCCTTATTATCTCTTCCAGGGCTCTTGGGAAGGCTAAGTTCTGAAAATGACACAAGAAAGGCCTCCATGTTTTCTGTTGTCCCACCAGCCAGGGACTCAGAACTTGAGTTATCCTCAAGGAGATTAATGCAAAAGGCAGCTGATAGAATGTCACGGTTCCAGGAAGTGAGACTGTTGGTTTCTCCCTGTGGCAACAAAGGGGAGGAACACTTCAGCCTTTTTAGAGGGAAAGCTTTGCCCAGTTCAGCAATCAGTTTCTCATTTATTGTTTTGATAGGATGACAGGAAGATGCTTCTAGGAAACCCCTGTTTAAACACAAACACAAAATAACCTTTTTAACTTAAAATAAGAAATAATTATAATAGTTAGAATTAAAAGTGAAAATAGCTGAAAAGAATTATCCTTAAGTTGATCCTAAAAGCAGACAAAGAAATTATCCACCATAAACAGAACTCTGACAACCACTATCCCTATAATATATCAGAACATTTTGAATTCTAAGGAGGCTTATGTAGGCCAGACTGACAAGTATTCAGAGCACCAACATCATTAACAGTACATGTAGCATCCATTCAATATATGGTTGCCATTAAGCCAATCAGGATACAGCTAGAGATAGAAGTGATTTCTGGTAAAAGAGCAGTTACCTGTTCAACTTGCCTACAAGTGCTTCTGGTTCTGGAAAGGAAAACCATTGGTCACCCAGTTTGACTCTGAAGATTCTCGGTTGCGAGCCTTCAAAGGGTAAGCTCCGGGTGAAGATATGGTTCAAAGCACCTTCTACATGAAAGGACTTATCTTGGCTCCTGGCAAAATAGACACCAAGTACGGAGTCTGTCATTATTAAAGCAAGCAAGTATTTCTGAGACTGAATCAGGAAATTGGCAAGGAAAAAGTTTGCCTATGAGATTTTAATTTTGGTCATTAGAGAGCTGAAAAGGCTTAGACCTCTGTTATTACTTACCTATATCCAGTGCACTTGTACCCTGGCACAGCCTCACAGTTGAAGGGATGCACATCACTTAAAATGAATCCCCCCAGAGCTGCCATGGCAACCACTTGCCAACTGTTGTGCCATTCTCTTATGGGATTATCAGCAGGAGTCCCACCTTGTCCTCTACACAATGCCACATGGACTTCTCCTTCCTCTGCAAGAACATCTGCACAGCTAATGGGAGGAGGAGGACACCAGCCATTTATCAGAAATGAGTAGAAATTACCACAGGAGTTAGTTGTATATACATGGTTTGGCTGAGAAATAATTAAAATCCAGTCGTACCCATTGGCAAAGGTCTATTAGACTTCAAATATGCAAAGAAAGTAGCTGGAGCCCTGCTGGCATGGCTCAGCGATTGAGCACCAGCCTATGATCCAGAAGATCTCAGTTCAATTCCTGGTCAGGGCATATTGCTGGGGTTGCCGGCTCCCCCCACCAGTAAGGGGAGGGCAAGAGGCAGCCGATCAGTGAGTGACTCTCATCATTGATGTTTCTATCTCTCTCTCCCCTTCTCCCTTCCTCTCTCTGACATCAATATACATTTTTTAAAAAGAAAACAAAGTAGCTGGAAGTAAATAAGAGTGTTTACTTATCCAGTGTTATCCCGGTGTTATCTAGCTTGGTATCTGCATTCTTCACCTACATGTCATAGAAAGGTCAATGTCTGCAAAGTTCCTACACAGGATTCACTGATCAGGCTGTTCTTCCCGGTGGAAAAAGTTATTCCTTTCACTCCCCTCCTGCCTATTCGAATTGTACACTTCAAATACTGTCTTAAAATACTGTCTCTGTGAAAAGTTTGACAACTGTGACCCAAAAAGACCTTCAATTGTGTCATGTTTTGGTGTAATAGTGTGAAGCAGCGATTTTCAACCTTTTTCATCTCATGGTGCACATAAACTATTAAAATTCTGTGGCACACCAAAAAATATATTTTTTGCCGATCTGACAAAAAAAAAAAAAAAGATATCAGTTTGATTCATTCACACCAGACGGCTATTATTGTTGTGTTGGCTGTTGTCATTTTCTTATTTGACAGTCTAAAGGAAAAGAGGTCAGTGCCCCTGACTAAATAGCTATTGCATGTTTTATAAATTCCTGCAGCACACCAGCGTGCCTCCCGTAGCACACCCGTTGAAAATCGCTGGTGTAAAGCACTGTGGTAAATTCCCGATAACTGTATGAGGTAATTACTATTAATATCCTCAGTTTATAGATGAGGAAACAAAACAGGATTAAATAAGCTTACCTAAAATCATGCAACTATTTAGTGAGTGTGGATTTGAATCCAAGCAGGTTGGCTCCTAAATCCATGCTCTTCACCATTAGACTACACTGGTTACCATTATTTTGCATTATCAAAAAAACGTGATCATCCCTTTACACACCCAAGAGCACACTTATTTGTCCTTATATTTAGCATTTAGGGTTATCGGTCTGCCTTTCCAACTAGACTGTGTGTTGTTCTTTTGGAGCTTTATATTCTCTCTAAATCTAGCAGAGTCATTTACACACGTATGCCTAACTTCCCAAACCGAAATGTTTGAGTGCAGTAGGTAATGAACATCTTAAACATTTTACTGGTGAGTGCCCTCCTTTCCTCACCTCTGGAAAAACTTGGCAAGCAGGTCCCTGTTCCTAGCCACCCCAGCTTTGCGTCCACAGTGCGGAAAGTTAAAACAAATTCGATCAAACTCCCTGTCGCGCAGTTCAAAGGCATCTGCCAGCTGGGTGCAGTCCACGCCAAAACGTATCCTGGCACCTGGCACGAAATACAGACAGGAGGCCGTGTTAAGACCCGGGACCAGAGCAAACCCTTCCCTAACCTGAAGCGTGCGAAACCACCCAGGTCTAGGCGTGGAGCGGGCTTTCCGTAAACCCTCGGGGGCCTTCCGCAGCACCCCTTGCGTCACCGGAGTCCCCGCGTTCCGCCGGGGCCCGCGCCGCGGGGCGGGGCCTCGAGGAGGGTGCGCCCCGCTACCTCGCTGGCGCAGGCGCTGCAGGCTCTCCTGGGCCACCGGGTCTCGCGCCAGGTCCTCCGGGCGCTGGACGCAGGTGGCAGTTAGACTAGTCCCGGGATCCAGGGTCTCGCTCACGGCGGCGGCGAAGGAGAAATTCCCCTCCCCAACCAACAGGAGGCGCCGAGGGGCCATGGCCTCCGCGTGCTCCCCGCTCGCGTTCTCGGGAGCGCTCATTTATTACGTCACTGCCCTCGCGGGTCTCCGGCCGCCCCTCCTCACCCGTCGCGGGTTGATGACGCACCACGGCGCTAGGTGGCCTTGACAAACTGGCACTGCAACAGCCTGGGAGGAAAAGAGCTATGGGTGCCAAAGGGAGACGCCGACCACGCTGTCCCCGAACCCTTCCCACCCCCTCGGGGGTGTCAACATAAAATCCTTTTAACCCGAGGGTGGCCCGGAGCGACTTCGTCACGCCTGCATGAGGTCACAAGCAGTCAGTAGCGCGGAGGGGACAGGCCGAGGCTGAGGCGAGTTCGGCGTGAAGGACGCGGGGCGGGAATCGGGCCCAGGAGAGGCTGAGACCGGCTGTGTTCTGCACGCTCCTGCCGCAGAGGAGTTTAGAACAGTCTTCGTCCTCTCCGAAATGGCTGCTGCCCATTGTCCCTACTGCTCGGAATTCCTCCAGGTGCTTCTATCTCCTGCTTTTATTCATTCCAGAAATACTGAGTGCCTGCTGTGCGCCGCTGTGCGGGCGGTTAGATGGACGTGTACATGGATGCGCCAGGGGTGGCCTGGGGCTTCCCTGAGCTTCTAGTCTGGTGACGGACGCACAGCAAGAGAGGCCGCCCTGACAGAGCTGCGAGGGGAGCCATTCAGGGTGCTCGGTGAGCCCGGAGAAGGGAGACCTTACCGTTTGGGGGGGCGGGGGAGTGAGAGATCCCCTGGCACATCGAAACCTGAATTGA